TTTTGTGCGTCCAGAGGCTATAAATTTAGTCTTTATGCCTCAAATTCGAACTTTGAACATTTCCACACTTCCAATCGTAATACTTCGAAAAAAATTTCAATTTGTGTCTCAATTTCGATCCTCGAAAATTGTTTACTCTTCCCATCGTGATATTTCGAAGCAATCTCAATTTATTTATTAATTCATTTCACAGTACAAATAAATCTAATAGAACTCCTAAACTCGATCTTAACTAAGAGGCTAAAAAAATCCAGCCGCCATTTCAATTTGACTGTGACTGAAATTCTAACATCGAAAATCGTTCGCTCTTTCCATCGTGATATTTTGAAACAATCTCAATTAATCTATTAATTTACTTTACAGTAAAAATGAACCTAATAAAAAATTCTAACCTCAACCTCTACAAGAAAAAAAAAATATAAGAAAACTATTCTCAATTCTAATTTGATCTTGCCTCAGATTCGAATTTCGAAAATTGTTCGCTCTTCCCATCGTAATATTTCGAAGCAATCTCAATTAATTTTATTAATTTACTTTACGGTAAAAATAAACCTAATAAAAAATTCCAACCTCGATCTTAATTAAAAGACTAAAAAAATCCAGCCGCCATTTCAATTTAACTGTGACTGAAATTCTAACATCGAAAATCGTTCGCTCTTTCCATCGTGATATTTTGAAACAATCTCAATTAATCTATTAATTTACTTTACAGTAAAAACGAACCTAATAAAAAATTCTAACCTCGATCTTAATTAAAAGACTAAAAAAATCCAGCCGCCATTTCAATTTCATGGTGCCTGACATTCTGACTTCGGAAATTCTCTCTCCATCCTGATATTTCGAAACAATTGTCAACCTCGATTTTCGCGCGAACGCGTTTCGCTGCGATGCACAACGCGACATCTCGAAGAACAAAGGAAAATCCCGAGCCCACGAAAAGTCCTGTGGTATAACCTTCCAGCGGATCGACCGATCTACCTGCGCCCGTCGGAATCCGATCGACTCGGTTTCGTCGTTTACTCGGAAATCCAGCGTTGCGCAATCGACCGTAACGAGTTATTATTCGACGATCGGTTTCTAATTTTCCTTTCTAGAAAACCGGCAAACCTAACCCCAATTGGTAAAAAAAACTGGACTTCATAGTTCCCCGGGGAGACTATAACTACATAAATCAGAAAAGATCGAGACCTGTCACTGAAAGAAAAACATCGATTCTTTTTCGGTACAGCCTGATGAGAATTTTAAACGTTTTTTTTTTTTTTTTTTTTTTTTTATTTGTTGCTACAGAATTTGTTACGCAACGTTAATTATTAGTACGAGAATTGATTTATTAGTGACGAGATCTGTATGACATTTGGATCGTTATGAGGAGAATATTATTTCTCATTCTGTAGGTCTCTAGAGCGTTTAGAGGATTATAGCATCGTAGAGTATTGAAGCATTTTAGAGTATCGAAGCATCAAAATTATTTGAAGGATATCGAATTTTTTTTAGTAAAGTGACAAACCGATTTTACGAAGGTTTATCGCACTTTTTAAGGATTCAGCAGTATTAAAGCATCGAAATTATTTGAAGAATCTAGAGCATCCTAGAGCAGCGTAGGATTTTAGAGTATCGAAGCATCAAAATTATTTGAAGGATATAGAATTTTGTTTAGTAAAGTGACAAACCGATTTTACGAAGGTTTATTGCACTTTTTAAGGATTTAGCAGTATTAAAGCATCGAAATTATTTGAAGAATCTAGAGCATCCTAGAGCAGTGTAGGATTTTAGAGTATCGAAGCATCAAAATTATTTGAAGGATATAGAATTTTTTTAGTAAAGTGACACACCGATTTTACGAAGGTTTATTGCACTTTTTAAGGATTTAGCAGTATCGAAGCATCAAAATTATTTGAAGGATATCGAATTTTTTTAGTAAAGTGACACACCGATTTTACATAGGTTTATTGGACTTTTTAAGGATTTAGAGCATCCTAGAGCACTATAGCGTTCTAGAGTATTAAAGGATCAAAATTATTTGAAGAATTTAGGGCGTCGTAGAGCACTATAGCACTCTAGAGTATTAAAGCATCGAAATTATTTGAAGAATTTAGAGCATCCTAGAGCACCACAAATGTAACATTCTATCTCCCAAAAACGAAACGAAATAATTCGCCGAGTGTGAATATAGAAGAATCTTCAAGGTTTGAAATAAACAAACACAGAATTGACACTAAACCTATCGACATTCGATCGTTTAAATGATTGGTTTTGAACACACATTTTTTCAATTGTATACAAAAATATTTCACGCCAAATTCAATAATATTTCAAACTATCGCAGTGCTCGAAGTGAAGGAATTAGAGGTTGTCACCTATCATAGAATACAGAGTACTAAAATTAATTCGTTATATTTACTATAATTCAACGAAATCTTGAATCTCACGTTTACTCTAAAAATCACGATTCTTCACAGACTCCTGGTAAGATTACACGACACGATAGCTCCACTGTCAACTGATTCCACATTGTAGACACTAACTGCTATCGATATCAATATTTCAGAGAAATATTTGCTCTAATAAACGTCTTTGAATTATTATTTTAGAGCAATAGCTAGAGCGACTTTTCCCTGTATTAGCTTCCGAAATATTCTCTCTAATTAAATTTTCTCGACGGACGGACACACAGACACGAGCCTCAATTTTATTCCTACCGTAAAACCTGATCTTCGAGCTGATTTTTATAATTTTAGAACTCTAAAACGATGTTCGATTTACAGAATGCCTCTTCTGATTGAAACTCCTCGCGCAATGGTTGCTTTCGGAGAGGCAGGCTTCCACTGTCTGATTAACCACTAAATTCTTTCGAATTTCATTTTATATAAAACATTCAAGTGCATTAATGCGAAGCTCGATAATTAGAGCTATAAATCGCGCTGTAAAGTTTACTAAATACGAACTGAGATAGTCCGACGCGACGATTGGTGTGAAGAGTGATGCTAGAGAGGCCACAAAAGTGCCAGAAAGTTGGTGTAAATTAGATATTGTTAGGCAGACAGAACTAAAATTTAACACTTGATCTAGAATTCTCTATAATTTTCGCTCTAGAATCGATCATCTACGAAC